CGTAAGCCCAGAGAGTCTCTGTTTTGAACATAATACACAAAATGGGGCGTTCAAAAACAATAGACTGCATGCCTTTTAGAGTCGGCGTAAACTATGGTCATATACCCCTGATCAAATTCAGAACTAGAAAATCGTTGTGTCTCTGCATTAAAAAATAATAGTAAAATTTATTGTAGGCACCTAGTAGAGTATCGAAAATTTCCATTTTTAGTGCCAAATTGGTTACTCCAGTAAATTCCAACTGTTCTAATTTTTTTTTTAATAATTTATGATGTTAGTGAGTTTCATTGCAATTATTTGTTACTTAAATTTTCTGCGTATTAAACCATAATTAACAATACGCTATTCGTTAACGCAGGTAGAATTAATGACGCTGACTGACCTGATTTTGTCCAGGGGGCGTAGTACGGTAGTTTGTACTGTGATGTTTGGTAGTTTGGCAGTGAGCTCTCATTTATGAAACTGGGGAATGTTTCGTTATCTTCAAATCGTAAACACGTATCATTAGAATTATATTTTTAAAATATTGATTAGGACATGTACTAAGTAACTAAATGCTCTAGCGAAAATATTCACACATATTGCGGAAAACGTACAAATTTAAATTAGAGAAAATTAACTATTTTTAGAGGTTGGTTTTTCAAAAAGGTGGGGATTTAGTTAAAGAACAGATAGAGACTAAAGGGAAGCTCTATGAGAAAAGTTAGAATTAAAAAGTCGATGTTTTCGTGTCATAGCGAAAGATGGATTATTATTAAAAATAATACTTGCATTAATTGTTGTCACCATTTGTGAAAAATATGGAAAATATCCTCTAGGTTCGCATACCTTTTTTTTAATTTTTTTAAGGTGGCTAACAAAATACACAGACAGAAAAGTTTAGATCCTGTTCGTTAATGTAGCGCATAGAAAAAAATTAGAAAAGAGAACGTTTCGTGTATGGCATACGTAGTTAGTACGGAATATTAATCTGAAGGCTGCAAGACAGTGAAAGAGTGATGCGCTTAAGTGTGGTTCAGAGGGGTTATTTGGGCTGTAGAAGTTTTTCTTTGAACAGGGTTCAAATAGCGTCTCCTAGAGCGTTAGCAGAGAAGAGTATTACAGTATTTAATATAAGCGTCCAGATTTCATTATTGTTGAGATTTCACAGAAACACACTTTCATGTAGTAGTCGCAGCAGCTTTAAAGTATATGACTTTTTAGTTAAGATGCCTTTCGAGTTTGCTTTATGGCTTGATAGGAAATTAAAGGGTAGATACAGATAAGTTACGAAAAAAAGTATGTACACTATCCTCAAAGATCAGCAATAAATAAAAGAAATTGATGAAATAGTAAAGTTGACTGCGATATCTTAAAATCATCAATAAGATAGATAAATTAAATTAATTTTGAAAATATTAAATAATAAAAACAAATAATAAAAATAGCAAAGAAAATCAAAATCATCAATAAGATAGATAAATTAATTTTGTAAATATTAAATAATAAAAATAAAATTATAATAGTAAAGAAAGCCTACCACGGCCACATACACATAATATTTTCGACATATGAACTTTTCCCAGATAAATAGTCAAATATTTCACGATACCTTAAAACAGAAGCATGCGGAAATATGTATGAAGTTAACGCACGGTAGATTGCTTAGTAAATTAAAAAGGTATATGGTTTCTAATATCCTACTTTATTAATGAAAATTTTAACCAGCTTTTTGTTTTGCAGATATTATTGGTGGTGCCTGCCAGCTTCCAGTTCCGAGAAAAGAAATCCAACACTTTTCGTCTTTATTTCCCCTGTCCTTTGTGCGCAATAAAAGTACAGTTTGTACCCGCGTGGGTACACATTCGCAGAACTATATGTTTTTAAAATAAATGTTTTGGTCAATATTCACTAGGTGGGGTTACCTTATTAAAGAAAATCTTATTCCAAGAGGGGACACTAGTTTACATTCGAACCGCTAGGGGGTGCAGATGGTCACGCGAACAATATGATCAAGTCTCATTGACGCCATTGCTTTTCTTAGGGGTGGGAAAATATCTGGGCTCTGATTGGCTTCGCCGCCATCGCAAACTAGAGGTGGGGAGATTGATTAAACCGCATTTCTGGTTGCTTATCCAATGGGAGCCAGTTTCAAGGGATTATGGGTAAAGGGGGAGGAGCTAGAGAGTCGTGGGGAAGGAGGATACGCCCACAAAAGGGAGAGGAGTGGGGGAAGCCTATATTATACTTATTCACTACTGACGTATATCAACTAGATAATCTCTTGAGTGTTTAATGGAACGGGTTGATGGTAGGGATAGCATTGAATATGATAAACGGAAAGTTTTATACCGGAATGCTACCAATGAGGAAGAAGAATCGGAAATTTTACTTCAAGTTCAAGATAATAACCAGGTCAATGGCAGTCAAGTAGCTTATATGATACATCCCAATCTACCGTTAATCGCACCACTAGAAAACACAAATAACATCCTGATGAAAAAATGTACGATTGGTCTTGGCAAGATATGAATATAAAAAGTTTAAAAACCACTAAATTTCATGCGAACGGTATGTAACATATCTGTGGGAAGCTTAAATGTCACTTTACTTACGGACTAGTCCACTAGATTTTAATTATAGCTTATAGCACGTAGTATTTAAATTGTCTGATATATTGCATACATTTTTCTGTGTGCTAGTTTTTGGGTACATTTTTGCAAAACAACATGAATACATTCACCGACATCATGACCGTCAGAATTGACAAACGTCAAAATTCAAGCCGTGCCGCAAAATCTCCGAAATCATCCGATTGCTTCCAATTCCGGAAGTGTCCGAAGTGGCTCGGATGCGTGGGAAACGAAACTGATGCGCTAAAGTGTCGTTTCCCGCACGCTGGACGCTGTATTATTAGGTATTTTACAGAAGGAAGTAGAAAAACGGCTAAACATGTGTCCAAGTGGAAGAGCATATTTTTGAACATTTATTGCACCATAATAACAATTAAAAATAAGATAAGTTAATTTGTAATAATAAGTATTTAATGTTATTTACTTTATCCGTGAATTTAAAATCTGGCCTCTATTTTAACAGAAATTGCTGATAAATGTCTTCTTCATTTTTATTATCTTGACAGAGCCCTGTCGGCTAATGGTTTTGTCATGGCTATGAAAAATCGCATAGTAAAAAATACGTATATGAAAGATCTTTCAGAAAAAAACAATATAATATATGGTGCGCCATAACATAATCCAACTATATTCGTTTGTTTTAACATTTTATATAGCATTAAATTCAAATCCCGTTGCATATAGCTCTTACGTTATCTTCGAATGATGCTAATGTTAAATATGAGGGAAACTACCTTTAAAAATATTGGCGCTATTTTTTTTTTTGCAAAATTAAATTAATATTGGAAAATTGGGTTTAGGTGTATGTGTTATTATTAATTAAAAAAATGGTAGATGTTCAAACTGATTCAAAATAAAATTTAAAAACAGGCGTTTTAAAAAAATGAATGTTTTATTCATTACACTTTTTTGGGCATTCCTGATTACTGTAAAATAATTTTAAATTGTGCATCCTAATAATCTTTACAATTTTTGTATTTACCATTTTCTTCAACTTTTGAAACCAACGAGGTAATGAACTTTATTCTATCGTTGGCTCACCCTGTACTAAGTTTCTATACAATCGTTCAAGAGCCCTTCATTTCCTATTATACAGGAAGGTAAATTAACCTAATTTTTAAATTTGCGTGTTGGACGGTCCTTTTCAGTTTCGTTGGGTGACTAGTCACGAAAATTTATTAAAACGTGGAGTTCAGTTGACTTTACATTTTCTTCATATGTTCTATAATGATTATGCTTGATAGTTTTGCCATTAATTAGTTTACTACAAGCTTTACAATATCGTTAGGTATTTCGTGAGTTAAGTGTTAATTACCAACTCGACTCCAAATGCGATTTAAGCTACATTTGTTCGCAGACGGATTCGGAAACTGTTAAAACTTTTAATTGCGATTTAACGTGCACAACAACTGACATATATATCCACGAAAATGTACTGCGTAAATGAATTTTATTAAATTCCAGAACTTTCCACTTTTATTGCTAATGCGATTGTTGGAGCATTTGATCTGTGTCTGATATTCCAGAACGCAATATTCAAAGGCTAATAATTAAATCTCTGCATTTCGCAATTAGCACTTAAATAATTATTGGGACAGTTTTAATCATATTGCAGGGAACTATTAACACAGGTCGTCAGTCAATCAGCAAAATGGTTTTGAGTAAAATTTGAAATCTCCATTGAAATTGTGAATTTGACTGCTGCGATTTAGTAACGAATTGTGATATGGGTGTGGGGTTTGCAATGTGATAAATACAGAAAAGCATGATTACGCTTTCATATCAAGGTACAGATTTTTGAAAATGAAGCTGCTGTTGGTAAATATAATACCGTTCTATGCAGCACTGATTTTGTTTTATAAACGTTTGGGAAATTCAAAAAATTAGCAGGGTTCTCCGTGAAAAAATTATTCACGGAGTAATTTTCCTCTATAAGAAAATCGTGCACCATATTGACTTGTTATTTATTAATTTTAAAGCGCGATGCAACTTGCACCAAAGATAAAGTTAAACTTAATATTTTGGTGCCAAGATTTTGATGAAAAACAACATTTTGATACACAAACCCCACCGAATTTCGGTTTTCACATAAATAACCCTTGTATTTGTCAAATTTGGTATTTGGGTCCCGACGATGGGTGCCGTATTAATTTTCGGCACGTTTGCAAAATATAATTTACTTTAACAATTCTTGCTATATTGGTGGGAGCGCGAAATTTTTTATTTAAATCACTGGAATTACTATTAGATAATTATAAAGAATTAAGTAGTTTGATTATCATCATTTATCATAAATTTAGAATATTAAATAATTTGAATAATTATAATGAATTAATCAACTAAACGTGATTACTTTATTAATAATAATTACGTTATTTCTTGTCATAGGAGCCCAATTAAAACAGAGATCGCTCGATCCAGAGCGAAGGCGGCAGTCCTTGGGATCGATACTACCCACGAACATACACAGGGCGTCCGACGCATTTCTGGACCCCCACCATGCGGCCATACTGTTCAGGGACTCGCGAGGAGTAAGTACTACTTTGATTAAAATATTCGGTGAACGTCTGATTTATTTTTGTCTGGCGCATTCGGCAGATATTAGATTAAATTAAATGAAGCGTTCTCATCTTACTGGGAAACAAGTAATATTATTATATATTGGCAAAGATTTTGATTTTTGTTGCAATATTTTTTTAATATAAAAAAAAGGAATAATATAAAATAGACGTGTCTCATCTAGTTATACAATTGTTCCCAAATATGATACATACTTTTGGATTGCGTGACGTATTGGTATTAATAACCGCAACCATAGTCTTATATATATATACAGGAAAGCCCTAAATTTTTAAGCGACCACCAATTTTTTATGAAACTATGCCTTTAGAAACATATAAAACAACATAAATTAAAATTGGGAATGAATTTTAACCATGTATTGAAATTTTCTTTTTACATACAACATGAAATTGCCAACGTTCATTTTCAGTTTCACGCGTAACTTTTGAGATTTGAGATTTTTATCAGATGATTTGTCATTTGGTTGCAGGTTTCTAGGTATGTTATCAATGACATTGATCTAACCATAGTATTATTAGTAGGTGTAGGTGTAGGTATTATTAGCGGATTTGCTAAAAAAAAAAACAAATTACCTGCAGTAGCACACACAAGCACTCCTGCTAAAGTAAGCTGCTGTGTGTAACAATTTCTTATAAGCATTTTTCCCGAAAAAGATAATTGGCAGTTGAACTACGGCGAATAGGAATTATTGTCAAAATATGGAGTGACGTAGAAGTAGAAGTTGATACACAAATTACATAAACATCTCTTAGTATGGTAGTAAACAACTTTTTAACTATGTTCTCTTGTGGAGCGTAAATAGTTTATCAATTTTGAATATCTTACATCAATACAGTTTGTCCAACTGCAACTTCCCGACAAACCGGCTTTACAACTGCAAGCAACTGGATACTTGGCGTTTTACAAAATATAATTGGCCCTTAATTTGATAGAGTTTTTTTTGATACGCACAATACAAAAATATATGCAATTTGAATTATCGGATTCTGCATCTTTTGCATTTAATGATGTTTCCCCTTCCACAAAACGCCGGTTTAGATATGGTTCTTATGCAGTTAAAATGAGCCGGCCAAAGTTTCAAAGGTAAACCAAGACAGAACGTGCCTCAGCATTTTACCTGTTACCACTCGTATACTAAGATTGGCAAAACCCGGCGATTTACCTGTCATTGTGCATACCTTTGTCTAGTACGCCCCAGTGCCGTACACTCTACAGACACCAATTACCGGATAATTACACCAGTTTCCACTACAAAACAGGGTCGCATTTTTGAAGAACCGCTGCCGAAACTCGAAAGGCCGTCTTTAATTGTTATGGATAATGCACGACATCATTCTAGACTTAGTGAAAGTGTACCAAATGCGTCGACAAAAAGAAAGAAGAAATTGACTGCGCAGTAAGCAGATTAATTACCCAGAAAATGGTCTAAAATGTGAGTTTTTAAAAATTGTAAAAAATTACAAAACAAATTTGCCGTTTGCTGAAATGGGTCGCTCATCAGGTGTTAAGGTTTGGCCTGGGATCAGTGTAAAATATTTTTTAATAAAAATATTGCGAAGCAAGGCACGATGATACTGCAGTTGTATATGTTTGGAAGGCAGCTCTCCGAACAGTTACCAAAGAAAATTGGATCAATTGTATAACACCCACAGAAAATATCGCTAACTGGGTGCAATAATGACACATATCGAAAGTATCTATTTTTAGTTAATATCAATATTTTTTTGTTTTAAAAAGAGAATAATACAAATCAATATGTAATTATAAAGACATGTCACTATAAATTTTGTAATAAGAGAGTTGATATCAGTTATCTCAATATTTCAGTTTTTATTTTCCTAAAGCACTGATTTTCACGGAACTATTATTGAGCTATAGTGAGTGAGCGATATAATAAAAGAATACTGGAAAAAAAGAGAATACACTTGATATAACGGTACCATTTGGCTCTGATGATGTTTCATCGTAAATTGAAATTAAATATTGCTTATTTGTATATTTGCTCTTGGCAAATTATAGTTTATACGATATGATATATATTTTTCGTACAATAATTTATTTAATTTTTCATGTAGATTCATCTACTTAAATAGTCGCATATCAGGAACACCCTGTTCTATTATTAAACAGAAAATAAATTGAAAAGTGCGAAGTGCAACCGATTCTGTCTTCCAAGTAATAAAATCGTGAAAGTAAGTGACGGCTTTCTTGCTTTGATCAGATAGACATTTAGGGCGGAACAACATCTGTTGAAATATAAGTAGAAGCAAGATGAACAATCCGTTTTATTCTGTTTGGCATTTTAATGCCGACTATGCCATCACAAATGGTATCGACTATAGACGATACTGCCTCGGAGAATAGATTCGCGAATAATGATTTCTAGACTACTCTTGTGTTTAAAGTCTGTCTCTAAAAGAATGAAAAATCAATACGTAAATTTTCCAGCACACAACAGTTATTTATGCGCTTATGCTCAAGCCGCTAAACCACAACGTTCTTGTCGCAATACAAAAGAACCTTGTCTTACGTAAGCGAACTATCCAGGAGACGCGCAAAGCGTTTTGTTTATCAACTTCCGCCACATAAGCGGGCGGCGCCACTGACGATCCGCTAAATCGACGTGCCGCCGCATTTTTTATCCGATTTTATTTTGCTTTTCCTGGCATAGCGGACGACGCCGACGCGCACTATCGCAACATTTTCAATAACAACAAAAAAAGTGAACGTCAAGACAGAATCATTCGAATTATTAATAAGCGTTTTTCGGCGAGCTTTTTCGACGGACATGTCCGAGCCGAGAACACTGTTGCGCTTTTAGATAAACAGACACCTGTTTGGCGTTTGTTTACGATCAATTATTACGAATTGTAGACGCGAGACGACACAGTAGTTTTGTAGGTGATCGTGCGTGACGAAGATGTGCGGCGTGAGTGCGAACTCGATGATCCCGGACTGTGATTAGGTGATTCATCGGTTACGGTTTTGCCGTTTTCGCCCCGTTTTGAGTTTAATTTGAGGCGAATCGAGCGGGACTCGCGGGTACTGTAGCGCTTCGATTCGTGCATTTCTTTCACTGTTCGAAAATTCGAATTTTTTTTGGGTATTTCATTTTTTGTTGCATATTTGCTATAAAGTTTATTTAATTATTATTGCGTTTTTTGGGCAAATTATTTTTTTTACAAAACTAGTAAGTACTAACCGCCCAGTGGCCAGTAAATTATAAACTTATATTTTGGTTATTTTTTCAAAGAAACTTCCACAGGGTACTGTAATGCTTTTTCCAAAACTTCTGGATTCCTCCTGCGTCGGTTTTTGCTTAGTGGAAATTGCTGACGTTTCGCCAATCATCCTGTTGGCTTCTTCAGAGCTTGACTTATATTTTGGTTCTTAAGCGTCATCTCGACTTGCAGGTAACGGACACCGTATTCCGAAACGATTTTAAGATTTATAGCGACAAATTACACTAGCAACAAACAAATACGGTAAAACGAAAGCGTCAAAAAGATTTAAAGAAAATTATTTGGCGCCTCTTAATTTTCATAATTTTCATAAGAAACCCGTCCAGAGCAAAGTATGCACCGGTAGGAATGTTTGATACAGAAAACGGTGGAAGACAGTATTGTAAATGGTCAGTCAGTCAACATTTATTGCCACTGAAGAACAAACACTTTCACAATTGCTCCCATGATTCTAAAATAATTCGAGAAGAATTGAAGGACTATTTTGTTTCACCTGAATATTAAGTTTTCTTTGCAAGAATATTTTTTTGTAGAGCTATGTGTGTTTGTAGCTATAATGTAAATTTTAAAGGACCAAAGAATTCCCTTTTGCTTTTAGGCAATTCATTTGTCACCTTTTCTTTTCCTTTACCGTTCTTTCCACTCCTGATTCAGTTACGTACTGCTGCGAATTTCATGTTTAGATGTCGTTCTGCAAATTCTTGTTTTTTTACTCTATTTTTAACATCTTTGCAATGTACATTCCCTTCCATTAAATTCAAAAAAATTCACAACTTGCGAAACAGTCTCGAAATAAAAAAGTGCAAACTTCGCTAGATTAATAAGTGGAAATTTCTCTGACTTGTCAGCTATAATAAAAGTAGTGACGTTTCTAATTTGAAACAGTGTGAAATTTTCAGCAAAATTTCTTTAGCGCTGCTGTTTACACATATCGCAAGTAACTTGTGAAAGTTGCCTAGGCAATTTTTTTGGTAAGCAGACAAGAGACTTAAGTAATGGGCGGTGCTGTAGCTACATTAGCGAGTTGTAGCTGGCTGCCTCGACAATTAAAGAGAGAATGATTTAATTATTAATAATGAAACTATATTTATTTGGCGAAAACGGGATTCAGAAACAAAATATGATCAAACGTAGTTATAAGACCATAAGTCAATTTAGGGGAAAAAGTTTGATTTCTATTTGACAGCTTCCAGAAATTGTTAAATTTTTAACTCCTCATTTTGGTTGATTCTTAAATCGTCAAATAAAGTTGGTGAACTGCATTGAGCTGTAAAAGGTTGCGTTATTTAATAAGCAACTTGGTGGTGACGTTGGTCTATTTCTGGTGGGAGCATCATCATCCCTGCCCCTTTTAAGGCGCATATCAGTATCTATGAAAATGTATTTTTATAAAGATCGATAGCACAGCTTTGAAGTGTAAAAGCATCGGCTTTGTTCGAAGTCTATATATACTTTATTCGGGGAATACCGAGCCAATGGAAAGCATTATTTAAGGTTTAATAAAAATCCTCGTAGGAGATCCCGTAGTCTTGATAATACTGCGAATCTTTGTTAGGCGTTTGTCATCTAAGTTCTCCACCCCTTTTCAACTTATCAATCGCCAAAAGAAGTGAACTAAGAGAATGTTTTACTACAAAGAATATTCAAAAAACTAAAACAAAAATTATATAGGACTTTTCACTAAAATGTCTACAGGGGTTCCTAAT